ATCTTCCGGGAATCTATTCCTAGCCTTTTGATTTCTCTGGCACATTGTTCAATCGCTATGATTCCAGACTGGAGAACTGTAGCATACATACCTAGGTATACCGTCAGTTCGGTCTTGGGGTTCATCCCGAAGACCCCAGCTCCCGTACCCTTGTCAGTTTTGGAGCCATCAGTATACCAGTAGAAATTTGCCTTTACGTTCTGGTATCAGTACCTCGTACGTTTTAGTCAAATTGCATTTTGGAGTAGTGGCATCGATTGGCATGCATCTCTGTATCTCCTCCCTCAGTTTTCATTGTTTATTTACATAGCCTATCCTAGCAGATGGTGCTCCATTTATGAGCCTGTAGCCAGAACGGGAAGAATGGGCCAAAGGAACACTGCTAAAGGGAACTCCTACTGGTACACTGACGGCTCCAAAACTGATGGCACGGTGGGCTGGAGTCTTCGGGATGAATAGACTCTAAGACGAATTGACTCCAAACTTAAGTAAAAGTGCTAGTCTTTCAGTCTGAAATCATAGCGTCTGAACACTGCGCTTGGGAAATAAAAAGGCTAGAAGGCCCTTGCCTTATGCGAGGTGAAGCCAAAGAGTATTTGGAATTGCACTGGCGGAAGCGAGCGACATCAGTGACTCGGCATGGGACCCTGGGCATTCCGGGCGCAGAGGCAATGAAAAAGTCGACATGTTGCCCAAAGAGGGAGCCAACATGGATTCTCTAGGTCCTGAATCCTACCGTAGCCTAGCATTTTGCCACAAAAGAGGATACATCTCAAAATGGCTCCTTAAATAACTCTAAAACCAGGTGGAACAATACAACAGGCATGAGGCACGCGAAGAGATTCATAGACGGTCCATCCGCAAAACCTACAAAATGAATTACTGGAAAGCAACCGAACCAGGATTCTGGTTGGACTCCTGACTGAGCACTGCCACTTAAAAAAGCACATGCACGGGATAGGAGTACAGACAAAAGAAACACTGTGCAGATACTGCCAGGAGAATGACGAGACTGCAGAACACATTTTACATTTCTGTGAAGGTCTATGTAGGTGCAGGTTCTTGCAACTAGGACAAGAAAAACCGCAATCTAGATCCTACTCTAAGGAGCCGCTGGTAAAGCTATGGAGGCTGATTAACAACCTGAAGCAGGCCTATGAGTTATAAAAGAAGGGGAGCACAAAAGGTTTCACAATTCAGGTCGAGGTGCAGAAGGCCTTGTGGTTAAGATGAAAAACCACGACCTCCGGCTCTATACCCCGTTGCCCTAACCATTTGATCTATCGTGACTTCGATCCCCCGGCAAACACCAACTAATCATAAAATTATATAAAATCATATAAAAATTATGAATAAATTTAAATCAAACTTTCGTTAATTAGGACCAACTAAAATACATATGGATTAGTATAATAATTACTGAAGTACTTGCACTTTGCTGACAGCTCCCTGTGGCCAATTCATGAGTCGCCGAGAATCGAATTTGTTTCATTTCAACCCACTTTACATAAAATTTATAAATCAATGTAATAATTAAGTAGTTTGATCCTTTTGACCTGTCAGTCTGCGCGTTTCCTAGTGTTATTTTGTCAATTGGGTTGTCCAGAAATTCTCTAGCAGGCGGTAAAACAGGGAGGACAAACGGGCCCTGATGATAGGAAACTGCTAAACAACCTAAAAATGTAAAGCCTAAAAGGGGACGGCTGAGGGCCACGTCTGGGCGGCGGTCAGTAATTACAAAACATCGTACATCAGCCTAAACCTAATGTTAACCTTTACCCTTGCCCTATCTAACCTAACCCGTCAATAACCATAACCATAACATAGACCTAACCTAACTCGTCCATATCTGAAACTAATTTTACCTCTCTAACCAAACTACTAAAATAATGTATCTCAAACTTAACTGAAATCTAACCAAACCCTGTCAACCCTGTGAACCTAACCCCTTCAAAACCTTACTCTTAAGTGAATTATTTGAGTAGTTCGGATTAAGGTAAATCATGGTTATGTTAGTGTAACATTAACCTAACCCAAACCTGATTTACGTTAAACCTATCTTAATTTGATACTAACGCAAATTAACCGTAACCTGACCTTAATACCCTAACTAGCTTAATGAATACTAACAGCCTTACCTAACTCATGCGCACTTCACGGTAAAGCCGGGAAATCAATGACGCGAAAATGGTCTCGCAAAAGAAAGTTGTGTCACCAGCCAAAAATTATATACGTACATGTTAAATATGGAGATTTTTAGAAGGAAACTATTTTTGTTTGTTTTTTCAGTACCTAACACTAACCTACTTTAACATAACCTAACCCAACCTAACTTTAATCTCACCTACTCACTCCTTACTTATCCTAGCTCAACCCATGCATCCTACCCAGTTACGCGAAATGATGACGGAATATTCACGCAAAAAATTGTGTATCCAGCCGAAACATTATATTTAGCCATGTTAACAGGTCGATGGCGAGAAACTGAAACACGCCTGGCAAGGTAAAATAGCGAAGATAGGCAGACCAGTATGATCGGAAACGACCAAAATACTGTTTCATCCCTTCGCAGATATTAAGAGGAAATCTCACAAAAATTCAAACGTTGTTAATTTATCATTTATTTATTTTTTAAATCTCACCAACTTTCCATGGTAAATGATCCGCCTAAAGTGTTATTTCCTTAAGCTAAATATCTAATGTAAAAGATCGCGTGTGAAAACACGCAATAAGGAGGTCTAGGTGCATTCAGGAAATAACCGAAGGACAGGGAAAATTGATCGGCGGGTGTGAATCAGGAGGGGAAGTGTTCTAGCGGAAGAATTGGGAGGTCACTGTCATGTTTTGTCTCCCTCCCGGCTGACGCATCTCAAAGTGTACTCGTTAATTTAACTACCAGGCTACGCCTTCTATTAAATTACTGTCAATGTTCTACATCGCTCTCCTTGAATACAAAACATCTGAGCTTTATACAATTTTGATTCCATAGTCGCCTTGCTATTATACCTGATGGGACTCCGTGGATTGTTGGTATGAAACATCTGATTTGTTTGGTTAAATACTGACATATACAATTTACTTATATAATTGTTATTATAATTATTTAATTACCCACGGATTTTAAAGACAAGCTATAAAGAAATAAAAAAGCAGTTTACTGTTTTCAACTTTCGTACTCACTTCTGATTACCTTATCCTTAAATCCTACCTAATAGACCGCTGTTTGAGTGAGGTGCGGCAACGAGTTCTCGTAAGTCAGACGGATATTGGCCGGCGCCTCACAAAGGAGTATTTTTTAATAAACCAATTATACTAACTAATCGTATCTGTCTGAGCTTTCAGTTCATCCAACTGATTAGTTACTTACCTGAGGAGTTAGTTGCCTAAGTGAAATTTAGCAGTATTACCAACTTACACGACAGGATTGTTGCCTACCTGAAGTTTTAACAATGTTACCAACTTACAGCTCACCATAGTTGCATACATGAGATTTTAGCAATGCTGCTAACTTACACAACTGCTTAGTTGCTTACATGAGGAATAGCCATGTTACCAATTTACATTTCAGCATAGTTGAGGTTTTACAAGTGTTACCAACTTACACAACAGCATTATTGCCTACCTGAGGTTTCAGCAATGTTACCGATTTACAACACAGCGTAGTTGCCCGCCTGGGGTTTTACAAGTGTTAACAACTTACCCAACAGCATAGCTGTCTACCCGAAGTTTTACCAGTGTTACCAACTTACACGACAGCATTGTTACCTACCTGAAGTTTTAGCAACAACCAACTTACAACTCACCGTAGTTGCCTGCCTGAGGTTTCACAAGTGTTAACATCTTACGCAACAGCATAATTGCCTAAGTGAAATTTTAGCAGTGTTAGCAACTTACACAATAGCATTGTGGCCTACCTAAAGTTTTAGCAACGTTATCAACTTCAGCTCTCCATAATTGCATACATGAGGTTTTAGCAATGTTACCGATTTACAACACAGCGTAGTTGCCCGCCTGAGGTTTTACAAGTGTTACCAACTTACACAACAGCATTATTGCCTACCTGAGGTTTTAGCAATGTTTCCAACTTACAGCTCACCGTAGTTGCATACATGAGGTTTTAGAAATGCTGCTAACTTACCAACTGCTTAATTGCCTATCTGAGGTTTTACAAGTGTGACCAACTTGCACAACTGCGTAGTTGCGTAATGTGTTTTTAACAATGTTACCAACTTACATCTCAGCATTTTATATTAAAAAAGCATGATAAAACAATAACGTATCACAAAAATTTCGAGCCCATGTAACTGCTGGGAATTTTTTAAAAATCATTTGGCGGTTAGCATTAGTTATTTTGTTTTATTTCGAAAATCCCTTGAATCGGATTTGAATGGGATTAGAATAAATCCGAATCTGAGGGTTCAAGGCGAGCGATTAACGGTGTTAGAAATCTCCTAGTGTCACACTGAGATTTTTGATTTTCCTTTAGGCTAATTAGTGGTAAACTTAATTCTGTAGGTCTATTATTTTTATGTGTCCAGGCATTTAAGATTAATAGGGATAAGGCGAGAGGAGAAAGCGTAGGGGGTCGGTTGGAGGGTGGGTCGTGGAAGACGTAATGGTATTGCACACATAAATCCACGAGGGGGGTGGATTTTATTTGATTTGATGGTGGTTGTTGCCGTGGAGGGGAGGCCACGCCCAGAAGTCAGCGAGTCACCAAGCAACCAATAGGATTAATTCTAAAAGGCCAATGGGGTAAGAGGGAGGACCCTTACCCTTTAACCGTCTACAACCACCTTAAGGGGTGCAGAGGCCCCTTTAATTTATAAGGCCGGTTCGAGGAAGGGGAATGGGCGGGACGGACTAAAGTCGAACGTTAAAGGGATAAAAATGTAGTGAAGGGTTGAAGGTGGTGGGGGGTGGATCACGCTGGTTGGTCCGCTGATTCCTACCGGGTCATAAGGATTACCCCCGCCAGAATCAATACGCAGAGAGAGCTCTCTCAGATTAGTAGACATGGCCCTTGTCCCACATGAACCGGACACCAGAGGTGAGTTTAATTCGGCTCTATTTCTATAAATACACACTCTATTTTTTCATTAATACTCAGACTTAAGCTGTAATCCTATTTCCGATCAGTCTTTTTAAGGATTTTTTTTTTTTTTTTTTAGTGAATTGGGGTGAAAATAAGGGATAAGCAGACCTGTAAAACTCATCGGTGTTGCGGGTTTAGCATCCTCCGCGCCTTTTTCTTTAATATTTTCTACACGTATTTAATAACAGATGTGTACGATGTAGAATTTGTACAAATATAAAAAACATATATATAAAAAAAAAAAATCGAAAAATATTTAAATATATTTAAAAAATCCGAAACCGGGTTGTGAATATTTTCACGAATAATCTGGATCACGGATAGATGATGAGAAGCTTTATTTGTAAATATACAAAGTTCATATGATATGGTTTTCTCCGTTTGTCTGAATTGCTAATTTTTTAAGTAATCAATACAGTAAATTAAAAAAAAAATAGCCGTAGAAACAATTGTTTTTATGACAACAACATAAAATCCAACAATACAAAAAAAAAAAAAAAATTGGCATCATAAATAAAATGTTTTCTCCAACCTACATCACACCAGACCGCATTTCACGATCTTCAAATAATAAACAAAATTGTCAGTACTATTTAATTTCTTAAAACTAAAAAAAATTTTTTTTTGCTTTGTTATATTTTAAATAAACACACAAATTAGAAAAAAAACGAAATATTAGAAAAAATTATACTAAGCTCAGAATAAACAGAAAAATACTTCTAAAGTATATGTTAAACCACACATAAACTACAAACAAAAAACTAAGTACAAATCCATAATATAAATTTGACGTTAAATTTAATAATTAAATTATGAAATTCAAAAAATCCCTGTAATTTGACGCTACTTTTATATATTTACAAAAACATCCAATTCGTTTGTATTAAGAAGGGGAATGAGTTCTTGATCACGGCACGGTCTTGATTACAAAGGAAATTCAGTTGTTACTGCCAACCATTCGACCTATTATGAGGTCTTCATCAGGGCGAAACAATCTTAAACGTGTCAACAAATTGACATAATTAAGTTTTTATTAGAGGATTTCAAATATCTTGAACAGTATATTGTTAATTGTGTCAATTTTTAGACATATTTAAGATTGTTTTGGCCTGATGATGACCTTAAAATAGGTCAAAAGTATGGCAGTAACAATTGAAATTGCTTTTTCATCAAGGCCACACCGTGATCCTGTTGATTCGCGATTTAAAAAGTGTTCGATACAACTAACACAAATGTGAATATTTGGTTTCCTTATTGAAGTGAAAAATCGCCGGGTGATATAATTTTGACTCGACGGTGCGGAATAAACGGGTTGAGATGTGAACGTATCGGAGCTGATGCTGAAAATATTTCAAAAAGGCGACCCCCGTATCGATCCGGCCCTTTTTTTGGCCTGTTTTCCCGGCTTTTCCTGCCTCGAAATGTGATTTTTCCCCACCCCGACGTCTTACGCACGACCGGACTTTCACGTTAAAGAAGGCAGATTCGACTTTAGACTTATCGGTCACGATTAAATTCGAATTTATTGTTTTGTATCAAAGTACCTTGCCATAAAGTTTGTGCCTCCAAGGAAAAAAGCCGCATAATTTCGGGATGCTGCAGCATTCGAAACAGATTTTAATATATGTTGTTTTGACTGATTTTAATAAGTATATTGTTTAATATTGTTAAAACAATCCCAACAATTAATTATAGAAAGTAAAGTAGACGAAGGCAGTGTAAAATAACTAATTTTCGATGTTTTAAATCACTAAAAACCACATAAACAAATATTATTATTAACCAAAACATGCGATGAATTATGCTGAAATTGAAAAGGTATTAAGAAATATATTCCCTAATTATCAAAGATAAATTTATAAAATGTATTTTTTTCTGCTCACGCAATCACATCGTCAGAATTCCAATTACTGCTAACTATATAAAATATCAAAAAAGAAAAATAATTAATATACAGAGTGTCAACTGACTAGTGTATCGCTAGTTTTTTCTACTAACGATATCGCATATCATCGCTGACAGTGTCAAAATTAGTATTTTTCTCTGTTTTCAATAATTAAAAAGTATACAAACAAATGTTATTATTAAGGATTATTTGGTGATAGTGAGATGCGGTCTGGTGTGACGTAGGTTTTAGAAAACATTTTCTTTATTGTGCCAACGTTTCGATCTTTATTTAGATCATCTTCAGGGCTCAAAGTGTGTGTTTTCTGTGTAGATGTATCGTGTTGCGTGTGTTCATGACACACAACCGTGACACATCTACACAGAAAACGCACACTTTGAGCCCTGAAGATGATCTAAATAAACATCGAAACGTTGGCACAATAAAGAAAATGTTTTTTTTTAAACCAACATCACACAAGACCGCATCTCACCATCTCCAAATAACCATTAATTAACAGTAACTAAACACAACACACGTCATTATTAAGCGTACAATGCGATGAAATACACTGAAATCGAATCATATCCAACAAAAAATACGCCGCAATAGGTTGACACAATAGTACTTTTTTTGGTTCAAATCCGGCGAATGTGTCCAGCATGTAAATGTTCATACGGATCACTTACTTGAAATCATTCCTTGGCTCCTTATTGCAAGCGTGTAAGAATGTCACCGGGTATGAGAAACTGCGAGTTAACCACTACGTTCGAAAATCTCACACATGAAACTATCTAACAAAAGTTTTAAATTCAAAAAACACATCGATGACAGAAAGTATCGAAAAAATTAAGAGTTTTTATTAAGGTTAGGTTATTAGGGTTTTCCAGCATTCTCTCCAGTTTATTTTCGTCAATCGGGTCATAAACCCCTGCAATGTTTCACGTGGATCAGAGCGGATCGGAAGAATCTTTCTCAATTTTTCTCCATTTTGGTGATTTTCGAAAAAAAATCTGAAGCATTGAGAAGGCGAATAAAGTGTGAAAAAATTATTATTCGATTTACCTAAAAGAAACTCAAAGTAAATTAGATTTAAAAAAAATACTATTGGATTTTTCATTCCTTTTAAGAACTGTGTAAAACAATTCAAACAACCCAGTATTCCAACGATTGTCATAACCTTATATTTCGTGGTCTGATTGACCAAATAACTTCTTTAAATTAATTAATCTTTTTATGCAAGATATTGGTTGAAATGAAAAAGTCAGTGTCACGAGCGGGATTCGAACCCACGACCTTCGGCTCAATACGCCGCTGCTCTATCCACTTGAGATATCGTGACTTCGATCCTGAATGAAGATGAAAAATGGCAAAAAGTAGGGAAAATTCGAAAGGTGGGTTGTGATGGGGAGTTGGTGTCCGAGTGGATCGAAGTCTCGATGCCTGAAGAGGTTAGAGCAGCTGAAGGTCTTGGGTTCGAATCCCGCTCGTGACACTGACTTTTTCATTTCAACCAATACCTTACATAAAAAGATTAATTAATTGAAAGATTGTCATAACGTTTTTATTATTTCTTTATTGGCTTTATCTATTTGACATACAGCCAGTTTTGGTTTAGAAATGAATCATGTCGTTAAGTATCTAGTAATAAATTTAATAGATAGTAATAAACAAATAAATAAAAAATTAATTTAAATTGTAACAATTCTATAATAAATAATTACATTTAACAACAAGTAGTTATAATATATAGTTTATAAAAATTAATATAAACTTTCAAATAATTAATCATTCTACGCAAGTCTTGGTTGGAATGGAAAAGTTAGTATCACGAGCGGGATCCGAACCCAGCCGAAGGTCGTGGGTTCGAATCCCGCTCGTGACACTAGCTTTTTCATTTCAACCAACACCTTGCGTAGAATGATTAATTAGTAGAAAGAGGTAATTTGGTCCATCGGACCACTAAATATAATGGAATTAATATAAACAGAGAATCAAATCAAGTTACTATCCTGCTATCTTGCAGGAACCTAATTTTTTCTATTTATGATACTCATTTTCTGATTGTATTAGGTTTCTAAGTTGAACGGTTTAGTTATCTCTCTTGTGATGGAATATCTTTCAGTCTTGATCTTCCTGTCTTGATGTGTTCCGGGCATGCGAGTACGATACGACTTATATGGACTTTCTCATCACATGTCGGACAGTCGGGCGGAAGTCTATTAGGTCGAAGTAATGACTGCAGATGCCTTGATTAGTCCGAATCCTTACAAGGGTAGAAAAAACGTTTTTCCTTCTTCAAATTCTTTGAACCATGGATTAGACGGCAGGGTGGGAAACATTGACTTGTATACAAATCCGGCGTTCCCTGTGTTGTACCAAGCTTGTCATCTGCCAAACCAGCCGTTATTCAAAGTCCGTTTGGCATCGTTTAATAGCTCTTTAATTGGATACAAGCTCCCAGTCTTTGTTGGTGCTTTGGCGAGTGAATCCACTCCTTCATTTCCTCTTATACCACTATGTCCTCGACTCCAGTAGAATACTATTATCCTCTTTTGTAGTTTGAGGTCGTAAAGCTTGTCTACCAATTCTGCTACTAGACAGTCGGATTTAGAATGAGGACCAAAATTTTCTATTTGTGTTATTGCGCTTTTACTATTCGTTATTACACAAAAACTTTGTCCTTCTAACGGGTTTAAGCACTCTACACCTTTGGTCACTGCTGTGAAAATTGAAAGTGTACTTGGCAGAGAGATTTTAACGTTGAATTAGGATAAAACCAAAAGGAGTTATACTTTTTTAAGTGGAACTCCGGACTTCGGAGACAAAAACATTACCCTCAGCTAATCCAGCCCAAACATGTCGATTATTTGTTTTTAGAGAAAATTCATTCCTAATGGTTTTACAGGGTACATAAAACGAATTCTAATTCATTAAAAAAATTCAAAAAAAAATTTAATCTAATTTACTTTGAGTTTCTGTTGGGTAAATCCGAAAATAATGTTGCTTTCTTACTTTGTCCTCCTTAACCAATACCTTAACATTTTTAGACATTAACAAAAAGTGGTGG